CCAGTCATTTTTTGTGGCCCCCCCTCACATTGGAGCTGTCCGCTGTCGAATTAGAAATGCAGCACATCTACAGCACGCCACCGTAATCTACCTCAGCCCCTGCTCAGCTGATTCTCTTGAAAGGTGCGAATCCTGCCGAGGGACCGAAGGGGGACCGAAGTGCAGAAGCGGCGAAGATCAATTGGTCCAACATACTGGCGTGTGCGTGACAAGCGAAGCGTGTTCGAACGTCCTCAAGCAGGGCCGGCAGGACCCACAAATATAAACAATTGGTCAACTGAAAACATTCTAAACCCACTGGCTACTGGTTTCTGAACGGTGCTCTCCCCTGTTGGAAAACACGCCTATCTCTTGTGACCCACCAGCGACACGCCCGGTTTTTGGAGTCCATACGGGTGTCCACGGCAGGTCACTGTCCAGTGGGGCTCTGTGCTGTACAGGCTTAACCATGTAGACTTTTGGGCCTGTCCTATTGTCAGTAACAGTGGATGATGATGGTTAGGCCGCAGGCCTTTTTGTCTCAAATAGTGAAATATATATATATATATACAAATATATATAATCAGGGAGCCTATGAAACGAATCGAATCGTGCATCTCGAATCGGTTTTGAAACGGAAACGCTCGAAACTAAACGAACAACGAATCGGAAACGATTGAAACGATAAATTATTTGAAACGAAACGAAACGCAGCAAATAAATTTGTTAAACGAAACGAACCGAACCGAAAAAAACACAAAAACGAAGCGTGAAACGGCGGAAAAGAAGGGCGAGAAAAATTACGAAACGGCCGAATCGCACGATCTCACGTTTTCTCGCGCTCGCATGGTCAGTCTCACATGCCACGGATGCGCTCGTAGACAGGTCCTGGGCAACGCTCCCAAATCGGAAGCCCAGCTCTGCTCGGAGTCCATGGGTTTTTTTGGTTGGGTTGAAGGTATGCGCTTTGAGCCCTGTGAGGCGTCAAGTCTTTTTCAGGGCTGTGGTGCCACGGGACTTTTGGATGCCAAGTCGTTTTCCAAACGAGCCCCCATCAGACCTTCTGGAGCGTCGCGATAGGCTTTTCTTAAGCAAGACTGAGCCTTCTCAGGCAACAGGTGATTTCACGATAGACTGGGGTATCACGCTACATGAATGGCACATGTTGGGGTATGAGTGGCACTTTCGCTCTTAGGATCTTCGAAGAGCCTGACCAAGGCGGAGATGCCCCATCCACCCAAATTGCCCCAGCTGTGTCAGAGTAGATTACTGTGTAGGGCTCGCCGGAAGAAACGACCGGCCTCAACGGACTGCTGTATTCCTGCATGGCTGGAATTTGACCCCCGCACCATTTCCCAGTCTGAGCCAGGTCTGAACCTGGCCTGAGAAAGCTGCTGGGTTCACGAGTTTTACATGCATGGCTAACTATAAAACAGCCCCGTGAGAGAAAGGTCGCTACGAATTGTTATCGTTGGTCTCTTCCACCAAAACACAAGATCCGAGCTTCTTCCGAGCCTCCACCACAACCCCCCCCCGTTGTTGGAATCAGAGGCGCAAAGCTTCACAGCGGATCATCCACCGGCCAGGCACAGGGCGCTGATGGTGGAGCGCGGGGCACTGGAGATGGACTCAGATGGGCTCCAAGCAACTTACCGGGAGAGTCATAGAACACAAAGCCAATTACACTTTGAAAACACAAAAAAAGCAGATGGGCTCCAAGCAGTGCTACCTACCCCCTGCAAATGATTTTGATTTCGCGGATTCAGATCCAAAAACACGCTGCTGCCAGGCACAGAAACACAACTTAGAAGGCCTGCTGCTGAGACCCTTTCCAAAGGCCCAAAACCGTTGCGCAGACCCTTCCGTGGACCATTTACCTACTGTTTGCACATACTTTCAACAACTCCCCCCTTCGGAAGCGGAGGGCTGCATGTTTCCACCTTGAAGCGCAGGCCCATCGCTGCTATGGATAGATGCCCAAGAAGCAGCTGGGGCCTCTAACATCAACATCAAGCAAACGAGGGAATGGCTGCAAGTTGTTGACAAGGGTGCTCAGCTTGGCAGCACCTATAAAGTGGAAGCCGGCGGTGCTTGGGGACGCCAGAAGAATTGGACTGGCAAAATGTTAAAAGTAAAGTGGAGCTGTGGCTTGATTGAGAACAAATTAGATCAATGCTCTTTTGGCTAGGGCATGCTCGGATTTCATATTGGATGAGTGGCCTCAAGAAAAAGACCCAGGCCCTAAAGTTTTGTACCCCCAGAGTCGAGCCCAGCGAAAGTGCTGCATGTCGTGATGCGGCAACCCACCCACAAGAGATCCCGCACCTCTTTCAGACCTGGCTCAGACCACTAGCTATGCGCGCGACCTTTAGGCGTTTAGTTTAGTTGTTGCGGTTGGTTCTCCGTCAGTTCTTTGGGATGGGGTGCGACCTGGGATTTAGTTGCTGTGGTTGGCTCAGAGCCTGTCT